TATGTCAGTTATTGTTTCATGGAATCCTTTGAAGTCATGCAAGACATGCATGTGTCTTATTCTCATTAGAATTTAAATGCCTTCTAAATATTGACCCATATAATAATATTATTTAAGATGATAAATGAAAGTGTCCGTAAACATTCATCATTAGATATGATAGAGAAGATTTGTAGCTCAGGTGGATGATTTTGATGTGGTTTTGTTCTCTGAGCTGGATGGTTAGTTTGCGAAGCTTTCATCACCTTACTGGGTGACATCTTCAGCGCATACTTCAATTTGAAGTGAGCTTTTAGATTTCTCCACGAGTTTATTAATCATCTCTCCTGGTGACCTTGGACGTGATTGGTTGTTTGTGTGTGTTTTCACACCTTCTAGGTTACTTGCATTGGAACCGGTTGTTTCTTTGACTTGAACTTTGACCCTTTGTGTGTGAAGTTTCTTTCTTATTGGTTGATAAATTTTGTCTATCTCGATGTGTCTATTGATTGATGATTCACTGGAATGCCAAGCTTCTAAAAATTCTCTAGCATTCTTGTTATTTCCTTTGTCCAATATTTGAACGTTGTCCCAGTCGAATTGATGTCCGTGGTTGTCTGTGTGTAGTGAAATGAGGGAGTGTATATCATGTCTTTTGACGGCTAGCTTATGTTCGTGGATACGAAGACGAAGGGGACGTCCACTTTGGCCGATGTAGTGTTTTTCGCAGTTGTTACAGTTTATTTTGTAATAAATAAAAAATAAACTGTAACAACTGTGAAAAACACTACATTGGCCAAAGTGGACGTCCCCTTCGTCTTCGTATCCACGAACATAAGCTAGCCGTCAAAAGACATGATATACATTCCCTCATTTCACTACACAGACAACTACGGACATCAATTCGACTGGGACAACGTTCAAATATTGGACAAAGGAAATAACAAGAATGCTAGAGAATTTTTAGAAGCTTGGCATTCCAGTGAATCATCAATCAATAGACACATCGAGATAGACAAAATTTATCAACCAATAAGAAAGAAACTTCACACACAAAGGGTCAAAGTTCAAGTCAAAGAAACAACCGGTTCCAATGCAAGTAACCTAGAAGGTGTGAAAACACACACAAACAACCAATCACGTCCAAGGTCACCAAGGGAGATGATTAATAAACTCGTGGAGAAATCTAAAAGCTCACTTCAAATTGAAGTATGCGCTGAAGATGTCACCCAGTAAGGTGATGAAAGCTTCGCAAACTAACCATCCAGCTCAGAGAACAAAACCACATCAAAAAACATTCATCATTTGACAGATGTAAATTTAAACTCTGTCGCGAAAACTCTGGTTTACTGAAGAAAGTTTAGCCGGAATCATTAAACACATTCAACAGATTTCCTGTAAATATAGAACATCAAGTAGGTTTTCTTTCCATCTCAGCTATTTCGGCACCCACAAACTTTCCACTTAATGTTAAATTGAAGGCTCTGAGTATTATAAGTTCAAATAATACGCACGATTGGACAACTGAAAGGTGAAATTGATATCTTGTAAACTAAAGATAACGTTACGTTAATTCGCATCAGTTATTTTTCAAAGAGAAAAAGAATTAACCTTGGTTAAGCAATCTTCATAGAATAACTCTGTAAATATGGTGCTTTCTACAGCCATGTATAATTTTAACAGTAAATCTAACCACTTGATCAACAGAAGCAAGTTTTCGTTGAAAGGAAATGTTTTTCAAGTATTTCCGTCAATCACACCAACAGATTGTGTGCATTACATCATTCTATAATTAGATTTGTAGTTCAAATAGACCTACTCAACAACAATGCTACCAAGACAAGAAATACCGAAGACGTTCAATTCAATAACGTCACCTACTTTTGACAAATATATGTTTACGACTACTTGTAATTACACCCATGTCTAATGTCAGCTCATGATGAAATCCTGAAATATGCGTATGAAAAAAGTGGTGAAAACTTTTTAACCTTCATAAACGGTGTGAATCACTGAATATTTACTGAGCCTTTTAATAGGTGATAATACATCCATAGTAAATTGCCATTAGGAAAATTCAATTTTGTCCTCATTCAGAGGGACATATAAATATAAATGTACCGGATATTGCAGTATTATGACTTCAGAGAAAGATGAGATTGCAATTTTGCCTTGGAATCAATAACTTTGAGTTATTACACACCTGTTATTGATAAAGTTATCATAGCTGAGGAGAAGATATTATGGTGCATCCTAAGCTATCTTGGTTGAATATGAATCTTTAGACGTATGCAGTGTATTCATATTTTTATTTTGTAGTCCTAAGTGTCTCTTCTTATAGAAACCTATCATTTAGTGAAACCATTACATCCTATCCAAAGACTAGATATAAATTAACAGTTTTGGGTGAAAATTATTTCAAACGAATCACTAAATAGCCCCTAAGTTAAATAAAATCAGTTTTCCATACTCCTCGATTTTAAATGGTTCTTCAACTGTTACTAGTACACGTTACAACCTAAATTGAAATTGGCCAAATCTCTACGAAAACCCATCATACGATTCTTTTAATTTCTTCTTCTTACATAGCGGTTTCAAGGGAAAAATTCCTATTTCCTTAAATTTCAATAAAAAAATTGTTGAACAGACATGCAAATAAAGGTTAGTGTCCTTAAATTATGCGATTATTGACGTGATTAAAGATGACTGTAGGTGAAGTGAAAACCTGAGCTGCAGCAGGATTCTAATCAACATCCTCCAAATTACTAGTAGAACGCTCTGCTGCCTGGGCTACTAAAACCAACTGTTAAACAAGTAGTCATTTCACCACCAAATCATGACATGCTTGTAACTCAAATGTTGAGGATTTGATTTCATTCGGAGTCAGCAGTGCGTTGATGGTTCATTGGCAGAATGCTTCCTAGCTGCATGGGAGGTCTGAATTTTATTTCCACATGATACACTTCTAAATCTCACCTGGTTTACTAGTCGGTAGTAAGACCGGAGAAGGAGAAAATTTTGGTATAAGGCAAACAAACACAAATTCAAAAGCCTAAAGACTTATATTCTACTCAAGACGCAAGTGAATTTCAAAAAAGTGATTATTCTCAGAAGAGTGTATGAAAAATTGCTTACATTCTTAAGGTAAAAAGAAATCTGAAGCATAAAATTAACAGCATAATAACCCTTCAGGACTTAGCGACCTAATTCCAAGTGACAGGTCATTTTTTCCAACGGAATAATTTCATATTTCTCGTGACCTCAGTTTTTCATGGAAATATGAATTAATCAGTTATTGTAAAGGACAATGAGTTGACGTCTAACAAGTCATATATAAAAACTGATCCATCAAATCTTAAAGTAAATAATTAAAAATGACTGTCCAAAATTTTTTGTAAGGTAATATTCTCATGTGTGTAAATATTTATATAAATGAGCTACTGATGATCACTACTGAAAGATAGGTCATTTCGGTGAACATAAATCATGCTATCACAAACACTGATTTTATATTTTAACAATTTTTTCACTATGTATAAATTAATAAAAATCTATCTGCGAAGGTGATAAAGATGTCTAAATAATATTGATATGACTGACACTAAATCACTTTATATCTGCTGGTACTACTGGTAATAAACTCTTCATGTCTATTTGTGTTTTTGCATAGTCATTACTGTGACTGGGTCGATAAGCGGTTGGAAGTATGGCAACAGATACTGTGTGTGTGTGTGTGCAATGATTATGATTGTGAAAAAGAAAAATGAATATAATTTTGAAGTGCGGGTCACTTAAACAGTATTATTGTTGGGATTAGAATTATCAATAATTTAAAAATAGCAAATGTTTGACATTCCAGTAGCAAACATATGTCATGTCTATATCAGTCTGCATAAAATAGTGAATATAAGGAAAACATTTTGGAAATAAGTCAGTTTTATATAAAAGTAAAAGGATTTTATGCAGCGAGTCGTCTTTGTTAATGGTTTTTTGTTGCTCTTAGTAGACAGTACAGGATATGAACGTAAAGAGTAGATCAGTAACTTCCTTCAAATTCATTATTTTCTACTTGTTATTATGTAGAAGATAGTGATGATACTACAGACTTGAATTCAGTTAACGCCAATACTGAGGACCAGATAAATGATATTGTACGCTGCCTATTAATCAATCAATAAACAATAAACTCTTACAGAAAATGCGCATTTATACCTGGTCCCATCAAGAACGGCTTGAACAAAAAGCGTAATTTATTCTAGTATAATGAATGCATCTAATCCGTCATTTTTGGTCATCAATATCCACAATTAGAATTCTTATTGATCATAGGTGATGTTGATGATAACTGTTTCAATTAAAAAATGACTGAACCAAGCTGGAAATTTACAAGCTGTGAATTTGACTGAATGTATTGATAGTTCGTCTAAGAATTTAGGTGTTTTTAACAGATTTGGCTCTCAAGGCTCAGTCAGAACGAGTACATCGCTGAAAAGCTTGGTTTCAATGAAGCGAAACAAACACCAGATGTTTAGATCAGTTATATATGAGTATCAAGCCCTACTGGTCAGTGAGAGTGACACCAAACTACTCATGTCAGTCAGTCGATCACTAGTACACTGAAAAAAACTAATTTGCCATTGTAAACACAAAATAAACAGTGGACTCTTATTATTCCTTTAAAATAATAATAATAATAAATTATGCAACCGACTAGCAATAAAAATGGATGGTGTCTGTTTATATAGACTATGGCATTTTTCTATACGCACAAGTAAATATTAGTTATTACAAAAATGGGACTCGTTTAGGTTGTAATAAAAAACGCCCTCTCATTCCCTGATTATAAACTATAAATAAATTATCTGACCAATCTATTCAAGATATTTAGGAATTGATTATACCCAGGAAAGGAAATATAAATGTAACCGGAAATCAGTTAAACACAAAAAATCACATTCATTCAAAATAAAGAATATACGATGGACGTCACTGCAGTGATATTAATTAAACACAGAACTCACTTTTGCATTTTGTCCAGGTTTACGAGGAACTGCAAGTTTTGGATCAATCTAAAATGTGGATGAGGAGACAGGCTTAGGTTAATGTAAATTATAAATTCACATTCTGATGGTCAGGATTATATTACACATAAATACTTAACAATTGTTTTCCAAGTAATACTTTCTACGATGTTTTAAAATTTCACAAGCAATTTTATACTCAAACGTATCTGATAGATGTTCTGGTGTGAACAGAGATTTCATCATATATAAATATTCCTTAGAGAATCACTTAAGACCTAATTTGTCTTGTCAGCAGCGTGCAATTATGGTCTCATCAAGGATCGAACACCGAGGCTTCCGGTTACGAGGCAAGCTTGTTAACCCATTCAGCCACTAGCTTGAAACTAAATGACCAGCGAATCATAACTACTGCAAAATCGTGATATAATGCTATCCAGCTTCATCGACTAGCACCTGCTTCATGCACGGTAGGTTGAAACCTACTGGCAAGTTCTCCTTAAATTTTAGAATGCCCTTGCTAAAGCCAGTAAATAATGATTGAATTTTAGTTGTAATATACTTGTGACTTATGTAAAGAAATCAAGTCGCTTAAAGAACAAATAGAATGATAGACTAGACAGATGTTCTATGCAAAAGTGTATGACATCAGCGGAATATTCAAATGTATTTCGACTGAAAAGACTGACTATGAATGATAAGTCTCTAACCCTATTCACATTTAGCATGAGCAGCTGGATAATATCACTGGTCCCCGCCTAATAATCGTGCCTTCCATCTAGAAACAGACAAAAATAGTTCGGGATAGATGAGTTCCACTTCAAATAAGGACACATAACCTATCCATCCAAAAATATGCACAGAATGACTGACTGAAAAACGTTTCTCATTTGAATAACTTTAAAAGTAGGTTATTCACAGTAAAACTAGAAAATATTTAAAATAAGATTCCTCTTCTAGTAAAGTTTTCTATCAACACTCATTATAAATCAAACTAAAAGTTCTTCAAATACAAGATGAAAGAAAAACTGATTTCACCCTAGCAAAAAATTGTGTTAATTCACTGGTACTACAATGGAATTTCAGCCAGTTTAAAATCTGGATATGTATTGTCAGGTTGTAATGAAAACAATAGCTTGCGACAGTGATTTCTTTCAAAATAACAATGAGTCTTGAACACTTATGTGTTTTGAGTCAACACGTGGCACAAGGTAAAACCAGGATCAATACTGTTACAGACTAGTGAAGAAAGTTTGTTTACATTACAGAGGTTTTATCAATTAGTAGACTGGAGGTATTCACTTTCACAGATAACTAAAATTTAACACTTATCATCTCATCAGATTTCAGAAGTGATCTATATGAATATAGACAATTGCATCACCACTGAACGTTGCACAGTTATCAAACACAAAAAGGAGATGTATATGCACGAGAAAATGACGTGATGAGAGGTAGTAAACATACAGAGAATTCTAAGAATAATAGTGATTAAACACATCTGCATTAGTGTTTATGAATAATCCCGAACTAGTCATTAATAAAAAACGAAACAGTTAGTTTGACGAAGCAACTCTTCTAGGAGAGCGTTGTTTTCAGCCAATTTTTCTTTTGTATTTCCACTCTTTCTGACTCTTCTGTTCTTATTTCTTTTGCTTCCACGTACATTCTGATTACAACTCATTCATTTAAATTCTCTATCCCATTATGTAACGCCATCATCTTCATTCAACTTCTCTTCCATGTTCATTAGTAATGGGGACAATTCCTCTGTTATGTGGAAAAATAGATATAATTTCAATGCCACAGCTTAGGGAAAAGAAATTCCCAAGGAAATACCCTTCACGGAATTATTTGTACTGTTTAAATTAATGGTAACAAAATCCACTGAACATTGATTCCTAACATAAAGCAATCCCAGATAACCTACACTTGTCTATGTACCTCATATGAACAATCATGGACAGTACCTAACTGTAACCTAGGTAACTGTTTTCTAAACCTAATATTACTTCAGACAAAGTTACTCACTTCGGAAAGAGATAACGACTGTAATACATAGTCCACTTAACTTATTCTATGAAGATTCATATAGACCGATTCACCTTCTTTACTAAAAACTGTGCATCTGCTGAAATACTACCCATTATTTGGCCTAAAATAACATGAGTAGTACTACGGGAATACATTTAGTTAAAAAATTTTAGTCTCTTCACACCTTTATTCATTTGCATTGTTTTAGCCATTAACAATGAAGGAGCGAACTGTTTCATAGTACGAACTCTTTACATTCAGAAGTTCCACTCAAGATTCAAGTCAGCAAATTATAAAAGAGTCTTTCATATAAATGCTGTAACTTCAAACCTGAATACTTCTTTGAGGCCCAAGGATACTAACGAATAGGTGAAGCTGCAACATCTCCTTCTGCCTAAGTCTTTGATTTTTAGAGAATATTAAGCGCATCATCATATATTTGGAAAACGTTGGTCGCACACCAAACACGGTTTTCGTTAGCATGTGCGTAATTCTTTGTATCTTGTATCAGTTATCACCCACTACGGCAATGTCGTTCACGCGCTCCATGCTATTTAGCTATTTTCCTGATATTAAGTTAATTCTTCTTGAAGTTAAAAACCGTCCGTAAAAGTGTACAAAAATGTATGTCTTCATGACGTCGTAATAACTGTCAGTTATGAGCTAAATACTAAAATCTATCATCTGGGTAATTCTCATTATTTTGGTGACATAGTTGTATATCATCTAAAATATTTTAACAAATTTTCCACTAAAATTTTAGAGTCATAAAAAAGTACAGATAAACAACAATTAAAAAATTGCAATTTATGAAATTCGGTAAATAACACAGTTTTAACTGCAAGAATTACCTTTTTAAAATCCAAAATGTGAGGAGCAGCTTCAAGAACTTTTTCTACACAAACTGGGTCGGAAAATGTTACGAAACCAAAACCCCTTTAAGAAAATACAAAGAGAGAAAAATATGTACACAAAATTATGCTAGTGTCTTTATGATGAAAACTCAAATGTTTCATACAGACTGCCTTTTAAATATTACGTATGCTGTTTTTGTATGTTAAAAATATTCGAGAAATTTGCGGTGGCCTGGTTCGTTTACTAGGACGAACGTTTTGCTGTATTTGAAAAGCAGATAGAATCTAAGTATTACGACACAAATTATAATGGGAAATAAGTTATCACTCTTACGAAACAACTTATTCTTACCTTGATCTTTTTGTAAGAGGATCACGCATAATCATATATTCTCTAAGTTCACCATATTTTTGAAAGTAATCCCGGAGACCTTCTGTAAATTAAGAAGAAAATAATTTATTTGATTTTCAAACTTCAACAACACAATCAAGTAGATAATTGATGGAAATCAGTTAACAGTATTACAAAAATACAACTGGAAAAAGTTTTGCAAAACACTAGAAATATACTGTGAATCTACTTTCAGTTCTTTTCATTGAAGACGGAACAGTTTATCCTTCTATCAATTAAATGTATAGAAAAACGATAGTGTTCCAGCATACTATGACTGAAAATTCAGCTAGTCCAGGAGGGTGCAATAATATATAAAAAATAAAACAGTATACTCATTCTAATAAAAGTCAAATCAAATTGCCCCTTGAGTTACCAGAGATGAATTTCAAAAGCTCACAAAGCACTCAAGAAAAATAATGATAAGATGCATAATTTTATAGAAATTCAGTTTCGAACTCAGATTCATTTACTATGAACTACAAAACTAATAAAAATGTTCCTTTTCTATGTGTAATTTTATTATTGCAGCTATATGGGTGTTTGAAGAATAATTTGTCTTATTCTTCAGAAATTATTATTTTGAATCTGCCACTGATCACTTCTGTTGGAGAAAAGTGTCTAGTCTGTGCCAACATGTCAAATCCGAATACGGATACTCCGACGACGTTTTGAAGTTAAAATGGGGTTATTTGGTCCAAGAAAATGAGTCAGCAGAAGCCTAGCCTAATAGTTTCAACAAACAGAACTATACATTTTGCAAGAAACATGGGTGTGACGCAGCTGCGTAGTGAACAACGTACACAGCACTGGACAAAGCAGTGAAGAAGAGTGCTAGGAAGGACAAAAGACGATTCTACGACAACCTCGCCACTGAAGCTGAAAAGGCAGCAGGCAAAAAGGACCTGGGGACATTATATCGGATAACCAAGTCTCTATCCAGGAAGAGATCAACACAAGTGAAACCTATAAAAGACAGCCAAGGAAACCTAATTACCAAGGAAGAAGGACAGACTGAACAATGGGCGGATCACTTCAAAGGACTCTTGAAGCGACCACCACCTGGGATCCGTCCAGGAATACCAACAACAGCGCGCACACAACTGCAAGTTGATACCAATCCTCCAACAAGAGCTGAAGCTTCTGAAGGTTGGAAAAGCAGCTGGACCAGACGGAATACCCCCTGAAGCACTAAAAGCGGACCCAGAGACGACAGCAAATATGCTGACTCCATTATTGCAAAAGGTCTGGAAGGAGGGAAAGGTGCCTACTGACTGGAAAAACAAATCATGTTCTGACCAAATTGCAACTCTATGCATCATCATCGAACAAAGCATGGAATGGCAATCAAACCTCTACCTCAACTTTATAGACTTTGAAAAGGCCTTCGACAGCGTTGACCGCGAAGTAATTTGGAAACTACTCGAGTATTACGGCGTACCCCAAATATTCATCAACCTCATTCAACAGCTGTACGACAACGGTACATGTCAAGTGATCCACAACGGAAAACTCAGCAAGGCGTTTGGAGTAAACACAAGAGTCAGACAAGGGTGCTTATTATCACCAATGATATTCCTAATTGTGGTGAACTGACTGGATTATGCGTCAGACAGTGACAGGGAAACGAGAAGACAGGAATACCCTGGACCGACGTGAAGAACCTAGAAGACCTGGATTTCGCGCGTGGATGATTTATGTTTGATGTCACACACAATCGAAGACTTACAAGCGAAAACCGACAAACTGGTCGAAGAAGCAGCCAGCGAATACAGGACTCCAGGTGAACATAGGTGAACAAGACGGAGGTTATGAAAATAACCAACCAACAACAGCAACAACATCCAACGTCAATCACCATCAACGGGAGGGATTTGAAAGAGGTTACTTCATTCACTTACTTATCTAGGGAGCATTGTCTCAACTACAGGAAATCGGAACGGACGAGGATGTCAAATCGAGAGTCGGGAAGGCGAGAAACACATTCATCAGCCTGAAACCAATCTGGAAATCTTCGTCGCTCAGCATCAACAACAAAATTCGGATTTTCAATACAAACGTCAAGTCAGTCAGTTCTTCTATACGGATCAGAAACTTGTCGGGTGGGTCACAAAGAATATTTCCAACAGCCTGTTGCAGACCTTCATCAACAACTGTCTTCGCTGGATCTATACTGAAGATCAGATGGCCGGAAAGAATCACCAACAAGGAACTATGGGAACAAACAAAGCAAGAACCAATCGCCCAACAAATATGCAGGAGAAAGTAGAGATGGATCGGACACTCGCTGAGGAGACCGCTGGGTGACATCGCGCGTCAAGCCCTCGAGTGGAACTCGAAAGGGAAGCGGCGATTGGGACATCAGTCCAAGGGTGACATGGAGGAGATCGTGTGAAGGGGAGTTGAAACAGTATGGACTAATATGGATGCAGGTGAAAAGTACAGCAGAAGACAGAAGCAAGTGGAGACGTGCAGTAGAAGCCCTATGTTCCACTAGCAATAATAATAAATTTCCATGTCATTTCAAAATGTTGAAACTGAATAGATTATCATACACTGCGATAAAATAATAAATTATCAATTACTCTACTGTTATAGAAGTGGTTGGATGGTTCCACTAGGAACCAAAGGGAACAATAATAATAATAATCATAAAGTGAATTTATTTTTCAAAGTGCGAAATGCATGGATTGAGGATTGTGACATTTAAAATTTATAAACATGATTGTTGCCACTGCCTTAATTAGATAGTGTCTTGACTTCTGGAATATTGTTAAATAAGCTGACGATTGTGGGTATACACAGTGACGTTGAAGAGACATTACTTTCTATTCATTTATTCTCTGTGACATAAATATCAAGAATATTTGATGACAATGAATTCAATACATTTCACTTTCGTATACGGTGCACGTTCCCATGCTTATTTATACGCTGTGAATTATAAAAGAAAAGTTGATTGAGTTATAGCCTAATTCTTTCCAAACATCTATATCAGACAGAATTACAATTCATGATTTTCATAGTTTATAGTTGATATTTTAGTTATTATTCTTTCAAACGTTATTTGTTAATTTTATATTTTTAATGAATCTAAGTCCCCTTTCCGATGTAAATTAATGTCGGCGTTAGGCGATAAATGTATAATTCTATCTTATATATATAAAGTTCCTTTGAGGAAAATTTTTATAAGCACTATCGTAATGACTACTAGTCATATCTTTTCGCATAGATATTCATGGTAAATTTATGTGGTTGAATTAAACACATGAAATAGGCGGACACTAATATCGGAAATGTCAATGTAGTTTTAAGATGATGACGATAACGAATGGTATTCACCATACCAGGGAAGGTAGTATTGTCTAATGATAATTATTTCAGGTGAAAATCCGTCGATGTTTAACACTGCTCCTTCTGTCATCTATAGTGCAATAGCTTCCTTACATATTTTATTTTAACAACTAAAATAAATCAGGATTTCATCATGAGCTGACATTAGTTAGAGTACCATAGGAAAACAAGCTGAAAGTACTGGACAGCTGTTTCGTCCTAGTTTGGGACTCTTCATCAGTACGCACCCACCACCAGGGTTCGAACCCAGGACCTTCTGGTTACGAGGCGAGCTCGTATACCATTAACCCACTGGGACCCGACCCAATGGCATATGAGTTCTAACTTCTGCCAATTCATGACATAACGTGACCCCTAGTCAATGTCTTCGGCAAGTATTCGTCTTGACACCCGACCTGCTGCACCCTGCTGGTCACGACTTCTCTCAAGAACCCCAGGTAACTACCTACCTGAATAAGGCAAGTCAGCTCATGATGAAATCCTGTAACCAGTCAAATCCCTACAAACTAACACTTGAATATCAATGAGATTCTCGCTGGCGACAGGTAAGCATACTTATCAAGAGCATTCCAAGGACATAAGGATAAAACTTGGGCACTGTGGTAGAGTGTAAATCCACTATGGATAAAATTTAATTTTGATACAGTCTCATAGTTTTATACAGTTATATTTACTGATGACCAGGTTTCGAGCAAAATTTGTTACTGCTCCTAATCATAACAAGTTACGCAACTTTCCAACTTCGTTTATATGGCTGCACTATTTCTCATTCCCTGATTTGATTGGTAGTAACATTTTTCATATTTAGAAAGCAAAAGGATTGAGCGAAGAAATACTCAATATTCAATTAGATCCGCATCTCTGGTTCTACTCTCTCTCCCTCTCCCTATCTCTCTCTCTCTCTCTCTCTCTCTCTCTCTCTATATATATATATATATATATATATATATATATATATATACTCCAGAGTTACCTTTATGAAACAAAAGTTCTAATGTATATAATCTGCGTTTTCATGACTGTATAAAGTTGTATGCTATCGCAAATTAGATAATTATACGACAATATTATTATCCAAAGCTGGAATGGATATGATGTTTTTCCATTAGGCAAAATGATCAAAAGGAGGTCTCCACAAATTCTTGACATTCTGGTATGCAATTCTTTACATTAGAGAAGTGAAAGCTCATCGATTAATATGAGCCTTTTAATGGTTTCCTAAAAGGATATTGTCATTATTTAAGCCAAATTTAAGTAGAACCCTGAGATCAAAGGAAGATTTATTGGCAAGACAATCCCTTCAAATCGCCGTAGACGAAGAGGTAAAATGCAAATAAATAAGGGTAACTAGATTATTGGTTTTAATGAAGGCTCTTAGGCAGAAGTTAAAATAAAAACCATAGATATTTTGCGTAACAAGGTGACGTAGAAAAGATTTTACTAGTCTTACTCTCAGCTGATCGAGTTATCGATTTCACTCTCCTCGTAGACACTATTACGAAATGACAAACTCTTTTAGATCCCAGTAACTGGTACTACGAATCAATATGGACAACTGTATTCTTTAAATTAACTCACTAATTCCGCACTGTTCACTGTATGAAGACACTCACTGTATTGGAATGAACATTCCTATCCAAGTGCGATGGATATTTTTCAGTACTGCAGATATGATACATCGGGATACTGCAGTCCAATGAGTTACCGATTCAGTATTAATATTTCATTGATTAAAATTTCACCTAACTGGTAATGCATGTGTTTCTAGGGTTTTCGTTTGATTGGTTGGAGGATTTCATCATGAGCTGGTATCGGTTAATCAACCATTGAAACTCTGAAAGTGCTGGACAGCCAAATGTTTTGTTCCAGTCTGAGACTCTTCATCAGCAAGCACCTACCACCGGTACTCAAACCCACGACCTTCTGGTTACAAGGCGAGCTCGTAGACCATTAAAATACTGGAACCCAATCCAATGACCATCACATGAATCCCAACTTTTGCCAAGTCACGACATAGCGCGACCACTTCCCAATGTCTTCAATGTGTAACTGTCCTCACCTTCGACTTTCTGTACCCTACCAGTCACAGCTTCTCACTAGAACCCCAGGTAACGGCTTCAGGTAACCCCACGTAACCTAGTACTCCCGGAACTTCCAGTGGTTCTCTAACCGATGAAATCCTGCAACCAAACAAATTTATTTCTGAATACACCTTCTTCACTTAATCTCCGGGATACATGATTACGCAATAATGCCAACTTAGAGAACAGATGAATACAACATATTAACTTACTGATAAAGCGTTTTTACCGACATGAAAATCTCATCATAATGTTCCATCTGTTATTACTATACTTTAGGGTAAATATGTATAGTGAAAGAAAGCGTCCCAAGAAAACAATGGTAAGGAGAATAAATAAATTCAACTCCACTTTCCTTTTAGTTAACAAGGTAATACACTTTCATACGAACTGTGATCAAGATTTGACCGGATAGTTGCAAAATAATTGAGCGCTTAGTGAGGAGTAGACATTTATACACTTTCAATTATATACTGTGTTGATGTGTGATTAAGAGACAGGGAAATGAAGATAGGAATGAAAAGAACGACGTTGATGACAAAAAACCAGAAGCATTAAAACTCAACTCACCAGATGTTGTAGTAGGACTCAGGCCACCGATAAACATTTTCCTAAAAATGAAAAAAAGAGAATAGATAAAGAGATTATGATAACTATTTATTCATATGAAGAAACAAAAAAATATGAATAAATAAGGTGAAACAAAAGTAAAATCACACAAAATGGTAATTATCCTCACTATTTTTGTTTTAATGAGATCGTCATTGTTGGTATTATAATTAAATAACGCGGAACGACGGTAAAAGTCAAGTAGTGGCAGACGAATACCATACGCATTTATGCTTTATTAAATTTCCCTGTAGATAAATACTCGCGTACGCCCACACAGACATGAATATTTCATATAAACGAAAAGACAGTGGAGAATTTATTTATTCTTTCTTATCTTTGACATTTTTTGATGCTAAAATATATAGCCAACCTAGGAAAACAATTCATTCATTCAAGCTGTGATGAATGCAAGCTATGAAAACAAAAAAAATAACAACAACAGCAGCAGCAACAGGTAAACAAACTGAAGAAACCGATGTCAAAACAGCAGAAAAGGAAAGAACATCAGTAGTTGTATTTACAATTTTACATACCTTGATATATAAAGAATAAAGATGAAGATAACTAAGTCCACTTCTTAATGCGTAAAATCAAAAATGGACTAGTTAGCTGACAAAAATTAAAACAGAAGAATCCAACACCACCACAAATGCATACATACATGTGTAATACGCATTGATAAGTGGAATTTTCTTCACTAGATGTAAACCTTAGTATGAATGGTAGAAATATAACTTCTCTATAGGGTAATTCTGAAAGAAAAGGGAAGGAAAGAAAGGAAAGGTGGAATGTCTACGCAGGTAATAAGTTATTTACGGTTTCACATGTGATACTTACTTGCGTTCAGTAGACAGTAATGACAATAATCTAATTAAACCATTAATCTAGTAAACAGTTATTCCGGTACTTCACTAACTATGATTTTAGAACAATGTCAGCAGAAGGCATAAAACAACAACATGATGACAGGTTGCCTAGTGATCTAACATATAACCCTGTGATAAGGGAAATATACGCAATCCAGGTAGGTGAATTTCTTTGCTATTTGTCAGAATTAAAATACCACTGCAGTAGATTAACTCATTCCACTATCTCATTATTTCATTTTTTATTTTTAGGAGCCCCACAACAACTATGAAACGTTTGGCACAAGATAAACTGGTTTGCAAAACTCACAATAATGAGTCCGTCTCTTAATAAAAAGAATCAGAAATTCAACCAAGCAGCCTAACATACTGTTGATTAAGTTGTGATGGGAGTTTCAGTCAGTACTGTCACATTGATATTGACAGCACGCAATGCTTATGTCTTGCATTTTTATTAATTTTTACAATTATAAATAAATATTTTAAGCTATGCAGTTGTCTGTTTGAGTGCATCTCTCTGAATTAGTGACTAGTACTATTCCTTGAAAACAGGCAAAAAGACTGTTTCACCAGTGACAAATATCTGACACAAGAATTTTTCACTCTATATATGAGATAGACATATTTATTTATTGGGCTAAATTAATTGAAGTGATCAACATTTCACTCACTTTGTGGTACTTGCAAACACCAAAATGAAATATACATAATTTCAGTCGGTTTTTTCTTCCTTCACGTTCCCCAGTGGAACATGGGGCTTCAAGCTAGTGGCTTGAAGTTTGTGTAGCGGTGTTTAATTTTTACAGGATGAGGTTGCTAGCCTCATGCCCAACCTTTCCTCTTTACCAGTCTCACTACTGGTTTAGCGAGGTAAATGAGTGCGTTGGCGGCCGGGGATCGAACCCCGGATCATGTGCATGGTCGGCGGGCGTCCTAACCGCTATGCCACCAACGCACAATCGGTTTACTCATAAATAAATACACTAAATTATACATAATGTGTAAATAATCAGTGAAAACTTTTAGTCTAACGTAGTGATTGCCATTTGCTTTAACTTCCTGTGTCATAATGTATGCTGATCCTTTTAGTGTTGTTAACTGAAGAAAATAAAAATTGTGCAGAGATGAAAATTTTCTTTATCGATAAGGTCATCTCGAGAAGCTGCACAATTATGTTTATACTTACTAAAACATATGACAGTCTGTTATTTACTGGGGGGAGGGGCGGGGGGCAAGTGACGTAGTCGATACAGTTATTCACAAGTAGATTTAAGAGATGCTAAAATAGGCCACGTGATAATCAGTGACACAATAAATGGAATGTATGAAACTTGACAATGTCGGAATTTTTATTAAGTGTCCACTTAATAAAAGTCAAAGGAGATGATTTCAATACCCTATTTTCTCCACACAGTTCTTGTTTGAGTTGACAAATCACGAGAGCTTGCTCCACACATAAGTGTCCAAAGCAAACATCCCATTCATCATTGAGCCTTACTTTGTGCAAAGTTTCAAAAGAGGATTCTGGTAGAACTGAGTGTTCCTAAATTACTAGATGGTTGGGGAAAGAGCTAGTAATTGAATGATATTTTCCTTTTGATAACTATGCCTGATAGTGTTCCAAGGTGAGTTCGAAAGACGTGCACTTTTATCTGGACTTATTTCCTCTTTTGTTATCATATAGACAATATGGTAGAATATGATTCCACCGCAGAATAATTTTATCCGGTGAAAAAGAGAGATACCGTATCAATAAGATATTGTATCATTTACACTGAAAGTTATCATTTTGTCTTTTTAACGTCGTTTGCACAGTCAATATTCACAGACTTTGAACACATCGGACTCGATATTTTAATTCACGCGCAATCTTATGTATACTTTATGCGTTTTATCCAAGTCCCAAAACTATATTTCATCATCTAATATGAATTTTTTATAGAATATATTTTTAGATAAAATGCTCCAAGCAAATCAAGGCATCAATAGGCGGTATTTACCCCTATTTGTTATTACTGAGATAAATAACTTATGAAAGGATAAATTGGAAGCATAGATCAACTATGCGAATTTCTACCTTGAAGATCATCGTAGGGAGATAATATGGTAACCGGATCTCAGTCACCTTATACCTTCCTGGCTGTTGAGTGAGGGAATAGAATGTAGCCATCTATCAACAATAAATTACCTATCAGAGCCCTTCTTTTCTAAACGAAACTGAATTAGAATTAATGACTTGTGGGTTTTAACTGTCTCTTGTAACATACTAAATATTAGGTACAAGCGTTATTGGTTAAAAGTTCATTGTAAATCGGTATTTTATTAAAGTTCTACACAGGTGGCACCGGCCAACCTTGCTAATTCAGTGTTTGACAAAGGATGGTTGATTTTTCATTCATTGAGAAATAAATTCTAACTTAACTGTTGACTTGGAGTAGACTTAAGGAATTTTCATTTGATAAATAACGAGAATAAATTGGATTTACTCCTTTCACCAATCAGATATTGTCGCTTCGAATCTGAGTAATATTTTTTTTTTGATTTACAGCTTGATTCCACACTGCATTTTTGGTACAAGTATGGAATTTTCAGCAAGGATATCGGTAGCCCAAATTTTGCAGGCCGACCATAGATATCGAGTGTGCGCCGGCGTGGGCTCGAACCCCGGACCATGTGCATGGTTGACGAGAGTCCTAACCACTGTGCCACCGACGCACACTGTGTTGTTTAAATTTCAAGACAGGAGTTAGTAGAAAGCGCAAATCATCTGATATATTTATAACTCCATGTCTATATTATATACTTTGACACGATTCATACATTGAATTTATTTATCTCATTTGCGTGAACGTGGAGACAATGTCGTATGCAATAAATAACAACTGCGTTATATTTTTTGTAATTTCAATACCTTATTTTTACTTAAGAAAAACAGTAAGCGAAATTTTGTCATTTAGTTTAATGATTAAACACTAAACTCTAGTAATTAAATCACTCACCCTAACGAACACATTAACACCAAAATCATCCATGTGAACTATGAATTTTCCTTATCACTTCAAAATGCGTTTTATACTCGTTTAGCTATTTATATAATTAATGCTGTTCGATGTATCTGAACTTTTTTAAATATCCATCCCAGCCTTGTTCATAATGAATTTCAGTATAGTTGGATTATTTGGCATGGCCTAAATAATCTCATCATTTGTGTTAGCTTGCTTTCAATTTGTTTCGTTTGATCTTTCTGGCTACTTTCTTTTAAAAATTTGTTTTCATCTGACAAAACTGATAACATTTTATCTATGTAGTCTTGGCGGTCCATCAGGACAGTTCTGGAACCTTTGTCGGGAGGTGTTACAACCAAGTCTTTGTTCTTTAGAATCTCACGTAGTTGTTTTCTGTCCGAACCAGCTTCTTTTGGATAGATAAGTTTCTTAATGTGAATCCCAACGGCCTCAGTAATATGTAGTAGACGAACTCTTAAGGTGAAGTTCAGATTAGTTGGTATGCGATGAATGACTTTGAAAGCTTCTTTGATATCCATTGATCTTAATTAACAAATCGATAGTATTTTAAAAACACCAATTCTGTTTTTGGTGACTATTCTAGAATATTCCATGTATGCAAACATACATTTAATTGTAGAGCCAAAAAAGGAAATTCGTATTCAATTTATTTAATTGAAATCATTATGCAATCTTATATTAGCTTTAATACTCCTACATTATTTTGGTAAAAGTAAAAACACCTGATTAATGCGACTAGCGGAAATTTACATTTATATCACTTGTAACAGTTTATTCATAAAGATTGATGAAAATTACCTAAATTAAGTGTCTTGAAGTAACTAGCAACGTTTTCAGATGTTCAGTAAAGAAAAGTATAGCACTGTAAGGACCAAGAACCTTCATAGCAAAAATCAATATTTGAGTTAGTCTAGAAATCTATTAACATCTTATGTGAATCTCAAAAGATTTACAAAACTAGTGACATTACATAACTGGTAGAATTTCAAGATCATTACCAGGAGAATTTCAGCACAGTTGATGAATGATAGTAAGTTCATCCGGTAATCTAACAAAGTTGGTTCCAGTCCTTGGCACAGTCGTGTAGATACACTTCTAAATAGTAAG